TTATTGGAGATATCCTATCTCCTAGAGCTGGAAGGGACCTTGAAAGGTCATCGAGTCCAGCCCCCTGCCTTCACTAGCAGGACCAAGTACTGATTTTGCCCCAGATCCCTAAGTGGCCCCCTCAAGGATTGAACTCACAACCCTGGGTTTAGCAGGCCAATGCTCAAACCACTGAGCTATCTCTCCCCCCTAATGCTTCCTGCTTTCTTTATTGGAAAAATTGGAAAGAGTCCAGCGGAGGGCAACAAAAATGATTAGGGGTCTGGAGCACATGACTTATGAGGAGAGGCTGAGGGAACTGGGATTGTTTAGTCTCCAGAAGAGAAGAATGAGGGGGGATTTGATAGCAGCCTTCAACTACCTGAAGGGGGGTTCCAAAGAGGATGGAGCTCGGCTGTTCTCAGTGGTGGCAGATGACAGAACAAGGAGCAATGGTCTCAATTTGCAGTGGGGGAGGTCCAGGTTGGATATCAGGAAAAACTATTTCACTAGGAGGGTGGTGAAACACTGGAATGCGTTACCTAGGGAGGTGGTGGAGTCTCCTTCCTTGGAGGTTTTTAAGGCCCGTCTTGACAAAGCCCTGGCTGGGATGATTTAGCTGGGAATTGGTCCTGCTTTGAGCAGGGGGTTGGACTAGATGACCTCTTGAGGTCCCTTCCAACTCTGATATTCTATGATTCTATGATTCTATGAACTCAGAGACTACCTGAAAGGGGAGGCGGGAAGAAAGTCCATGTGACATTTCAACGCAGGCCATCGGCATGATGTTTTCACCACACTTGTGAAATCAGAATGTTAACTGGAGTTGAACTCAGAATTCTTGGTCCTCCAGAGTCTAGAAAGAGGATGTTTGGTTTGGGGGAACTTAATAAAGTGAGGCCCTGCTGGGTCGGAGGTCTTTTCCCACAGCTAGCCTCCTATTTTTAAATATTGTTTGGGAAGGGAAAAGGAGCTATTAGAGGCACATTATGGATTAAACAAAAGGAACCATAGTTGTCGAGTCAAAGTGTGGAATAGAGAATCCCTGTTACTTAATAGTCACATTCAGGCGAGCAGGACATCTATTGGAACCTGACAGTGCTTTGTACACACAATCATGTTCTTGCTTCCGGTGTTTTAACAGGTGATTCCTTGTCTGGCCATAGAAATATGACGTTTACAACCAAAGACAATGACACTGATATGCATTCGGGGAACTGTGCTCTGCTGTACAAGGGAGGCTGGTGGTACAACAAGTGTCACGGTTCCAATCTGAACGGGCTGTACCTGCTGGGGCCCCATGAGAGCTACGCAGATAGTGTCATCTGGGCAACAGGCAAAGGGGCTTACTACTCCTACAAAGTCTCAGAGATGAAGTTCAGGCCGGTTTAGCACAAGGAAAGTGCAGTGCGAGGTCGCTCTCCAGCAACGTATGGGAATGGACCCTCACAGGTAGTTAGATGCCTAAAGCCCATTAATTTCTATGGAAGTTCCATGGATGTGCCTAAAGGATCTGGGCCTTAGAGCCTGATCTGAAGCCCAGTGAAGTCAATGGGAGTCTTTCCATTGACATCAGATGAGGCCCATAGCTGGAAGCACCCAAGCAAACACACTGACGTTTAATACCAACCCTTTCCTTTTCCTGGTCACGTTGAGTTGTCAGGAGCTCTCTGTTCAAATGTGACTGCTGGTACCTTACAGCCCAGCCCATTCCATTCTACTTCTGTTAGAACCAACGCAGAGCCAGCACTGCCGGCACAGATGAGCGAGAGCGTGGCCAAAAGGCAGCGCAGCGGCCAAGCTGTGAGCGGCCGCTGATCATTTGTCACAATTATTGCGCCACATCCTGACGTCCCTTTTTTCATTCCTGCTAAATTAAAGGAAAATCCCTCTGACTTCAGTGAAAGTTTTGCCATAGTCAGAGCTGAGTAAAGGTTTTAAGATTTGGCACTTGGTGACTCAATACATTATTGCGTCAGAGGTCATAGCATGATGACGCGTTTGCAGTTAATTGCAGAAGATCTAAAAATGTTAACCTGTTTGTTTGTTTTTTTAAGATCGTGAGCCTGGAGAAAGCAATATATTTGCCCCTTGCTAATTTGCATTTACATCAAGGATATTAAGCTCTCCCCACTTCCCAGCAAAGATTGAATACCAGGAGTGAAATCCGGGCACCAATGAAGTCAATGGAGGTTTTGCCATTGATTTCAGTGGGGCCAGTGAAGTATTAGATTACTAAAATCCCTTTATCTCTGCAGTAGTGCTATGCTATACTATGAAGCATAATCCTCACTGGTTAAAAGAAAACTCCATATGTCACAATAAATTAATAAAGTAGGTTTAACCAGCCATGTGAAGTGCATTTTGTGTGGCATGATTACATCTTTTGCATTGCACTGGTTTTCTTACTGGCTTATTCACCATGGCCCTCCCAGTCATTTGCGGGGATTATTATATTAATAACATAAAACAAAGGAAAATAAATACTGGGTTCTTTTCATCAGACGATCTCAAAGGGCTTGACAAAAGCAGGCAAGCATCATTATTCCTGTTTTACAGAAGGGGGAATTGATGTATTGATAGTTTAGATGATTTGTCCAAATTTATATGTATTGAATCAAAAAGAGTCAGGGATAGACGTTGGTTTGTAGCTCTGTGATCCAGCCACTAGCCACAACTGTCTGCCTCGGAACGGTTGCACTCTGTGCTGAAGATCTGGAGAGCAGAAGAAACTCTCAGGAAAGTAGCTGCACTTTATCGACTTTAATATAGGGCTGTTGCTTAATCGCAGTTAACTCATGCAATTAACTCAAAAACATTAATTGTGATTTAAAAAATTAATCGCAGTCTTAATCGCACTGTTAAACAATAGAATACCAATTGAAATGTATTAAATATTTTGGATGCTTTTCTACATTTTCAAATATATCGATTCCAGTTACAACACAGAATACAAAGTGTACAGTGCTCACTTTATATTATAATTTTTGTTACAAATATTTGCACTGTAAAAAGGATAAACAAAAGAAATAGTATTTTTCAATTCACCTCGTACAAGTGCTGTGGTGCAATCTCTTTATCGTGACAGTGCAACTTGCAAAATGTAGATTTTGTTTGTTACATAACTGCACTCAAAAACAAAACAATGTAAAACTTTAGAGCCTACAAGTCCACTCAGTCCTACTTCTTGATCAGTCAACTGCTAAGACAAATAAGTTTGTTTACATTTATGGGAGATAATGCTGCCCGCTTCTTATTTACAATGTCACTAGAAACTGAGAACAGGCATTTGCATGGTACTTTTGTAACTGGCATTGCAAGGTATTTACGTGCCAGATCTGCTAAACATTCATATGACCCTTTATGCTTCGGCCAAAATTCCAGAGGACATACTTCCATGCTGATGACGCTGATTAAAAAAAGAATGCATTAATTAAATTTTGACTGAGCTCCTTGGGGGAGAATTGTATTTCTCCTGCTCTGTTTTACCCGCATTCTGCATATATTTCATGTTACAGCAGTCTTGCATGAAGACCCAGCACATGTTCATTTTAAGAACACTTTCACTGCAGAATTGACAAAACGCAAAGAAGGTACCAATGTGAGATTTCTAAAGATAGCTGCAACACTCAACCCAAGGTTTAAGAATCTGAAGTGCCTTCCAAAATCTGAAAGGGACGAGGCGTGGAGCATTTTTTCAGAAGTCTTAAAAGAGCAACATTCTGATGCGGAAACTACAGAACTTGAACCATCAAAAAAGAAAAAAACCCTTCTGCTGGTGACATCTGACTCAGATGATGAAAGTGAACATGCATCAGTCCACTGCTTTGGATTGTTATTGAGCAGAACCCCTCATCAGCATAGACGCAAGTCCTCTGGAATGATGCTTGAAGCATGAAGGGACATATGAATCTTTAGCGCATCTGGCACGTAAATATCTTGTGACGCCGGCTACAACAATGCCATGCAAATGCCTGTTCTCGCTTTCAGGTGACAGTGTAAACAAGAAGTGGGCAGCATTATCTCCTCCAAATATAAACAAACTTGTTTGTCTGAGTGATTGGCTGACCAAGAAGTAGGACTGAGTGGACTTGTAGGCTCTAAAATTTTACTTTGTTTTATTTTTGAATACAGTTATTTTTTGTACATAATTCTATATTTGTAAGTTCAACTTTCATGATTAAGAGATTGCACTACAGTACTTGTATGAGGTGAACTAAAAAATACTCTTTTTTGTTTTTTTTACAGCACAAATATTTGTAATCAAAACTAAAGTGAGCACTGTACAAAGTGTTCTGTGTTGTAACTGAAATCAATATATTTGAAAATGTAGAAACATCCAAAAATATTTAAATAAATGGTATTCTATTATCAACAGTGCAATTAATCACGTGATTAATCGTGATTTTTTAAAATTGTGCGATTAATTTTTTAAACGCTTAACAGCCCTACTTTAACAATGGGGGGAAAACTACAGATATTATGCTGACAGGCATTGTTTATGGAAGATTATGTAAGGTTCTGAGTAGACATCAACATACAGGAGGAAGCGGTGATATGGAAACGTAACCGAGATTGTATCTTTTGTCCAGTCTGTGTTATGGGCTTTGTTCTTTGTTTTGTTAAACTCTGACACATTTGAGAATCATTGACACAGTCCATGCTGTGCCTGGGTAAGCGAAGTGAGCTCAGCGCCACCTTCTGTTAAAAAGTGGAAACTCTTCAAAAATAAGAAAATTAAGAAATGAGGAAAAAAAATGTTCACAGATATTTATTGCATTTAGAAAGGAATTCATTTATTAGCTTTCCCCGAATATCATGATGAATGAGTTTACGCTCAGGAACATTCAGAAAGGGATTGTGAGTGAATATTCACTGAAAACCACTTTACAATGTGTACTTGTGTAACCTACTGGTGAGTGTGTGATACAGGTCCCTCTCCATGCCCTACCCACAGAGGATAGGAGTCTGTTACAACAGCGGCTGGGGAGCCTTGGCTCATTAGTTCAAGCTATAGCAGCTCATGCTGTTAGCTCTGGAGGTCCTTGTTTCAGTCCCGGGTGTGTTGGCCTGGATTGCAGCCTTCACACTTGCAGTGGAAGCCTCGTTCTCCAAGTTACGTTCATGAGATATGTATTTCCATTTAGATCATTTCCCACCTCCCATCTCTCTGCACTGATCAGTTACATATCACATCGCTATGGTTAAAGTTCCTTAACTATCCACCTTTCTAATCCTCCAGCAGCAGAGAATTGTTCTCAGTGTCATTGTGCAGAAGTTCAACAGCCCCCGGATGAGTTCAGTGCGGTAATTTGCTTAGGGACTGAGTGGCAACAACAAAAAAGATCCAATACAGGGAGGCCTGTTGCTCCTACGAACATTGCGGCCAGACACAGGTGGGGACAAGATTTTTACTTCCTGCTCTTAGGATGAGCAGGCCAGGGGACAACATTATGAACTCCAACAGTGAGTAACACAAATGGTTAATCCGTCCCTCAGTCAGTCAACAGCGACCCCTGAGATTCTCGGATTCTAGCCCCTCACAGCCTCAGGCCAGTAAATGAGGAGACATTGATTCAACCAGAAATCCCCTCAGCCTCTTTAAGTGCATCTTCTCTTTGGCCATCGTGACGTTTGACTTGACTATCCCCATTTGCCCTTTCACTAATTTCCCTGGAAAATCCAGCCCTTCCAATGTATTTGGCATTACCTTCACACTGTTGTTCATCAGGCAGTTAGCATGCTCAGGTAACAAGCCCAAGAGAGTCTTTAATGATCCATTCTGTATGGGAAACCCAATTTTGTATGACCCAAGAACTCCCTAATGCCAACTGGCAAGGGCATTACAAAAATATCTTGATTCTGGTACGTACATTCTGGTAGGCCAGAGAATGTCATATGAGGTCTTCAAGGAAAACCAGGATCACACTGGTCATTAATATCATCGTGAAAGGTATGTGCAGACACTATATAAGGAGTTAGGTATATATACTGAAAATATGTTTTTAAAGTCTGTATCAAGGCATTAGTCTCTATTAGAGGTGGAGAACAGGTTTCTTTCCAGACAGAAGGTCAGTAATGTGTCTTTCTGTGGGGATGTAAATTGAGCATTGTATGCTAAGACAATGGATGCCTATTTACATACAAAGTCAAATGTTATCGAAGAGATGTGAAGTCAACAGGAAAGCACCCCACAGGAAAAACAAGCCATGGGTGGTTACCCTGTCTCTGAGGACCACAACATTCCCCACCAATCGTCATTCTCCCCTGCTTATCCCCAATGGCTGTTGACCAAGCTTCCTCAGGGATCTCCTCAGGCAACACTTTTTCTGGATGTCTCTGGGATTCCTCATGGTTTAAGGCTTCCCTTTTCCTCTTGTGATGTTCTGGTAGCTACTGGGCTGCCTTGCTCAAATACCATCTCTTCCAGGGATCAAGTACAATTAGAGAGCGTGCCTGGGATCAGTGCGAGAGCAGGGAATCCGTTCAAGGAAACACTTGCCCACAAGCTGTACAGTAGCATGTCTTCAGTGGTGTCCTGTGATGTGAAGGAGGAATGGGAGGAGAGGCAGATAAGGGGCAAACACTATTACATGAGGCAAGGAGAGCTGTATAAACCTGGAAAAGGGCTTGGTCAAAATCAGGGGAACCAGAACTCCAAAGGATTCTGGGAGGTTTTAAAACTGAATAAAGTCTAATTTTCAACTTTCTTTGCCAAACCTAATTTACACTTTTCACTTTGCCAGTGAGGATGATGCTTCTAGGAATCTGAGTCAGCCCAGGAGCATTGTTAACAAGTCAAGGAGGTGTAGCCAAGAATAAAAGATATGAAGTATATTTCATCCCTGTACCCTAAATATAAGAATGAATGTGGTAACACAGGGCCTACAGCTTAGCCACACAACGTCTTAGGTCTGAAACAGGTTGGCATGACTACCTGCCCAAAAGATAACCCTGTACCAGTATCAGAGGGATAGCCGTGTTAGTCTAAATCTGTAAAAAGCAACAGAGGGTCCTGTGGCACCTTTGAGAC